CGGACGAAATACTTGGAGGATTTCATCCTTTAAATTGGAATTCAGATGGGAGTCTAACCCGCACTAAAGACAGCTTTATTTTTTCTTTAGATAAAAACACAAAAAGTTTCGTTTTCAGTAAAGTTGTTGAAGAAAAGTATGCGGTTTATAATGGTCTTAAATATGGTCCTGAATTTGGAAATAGGAAAGCTGATTTAAAATTGCTTTACAATTATAAAAAAGGTCAATGTTTTAAGAATAGTTATGAAAGACTAATTAGAAAAGACGAAGGTGAATTCGATATAGAAGATTATGAAGTATTCCAAGTGATAAAAAAATAACTTGTGTGACTTATATTTGCAATTAACTCAAATAAATTCGTTCATTATAATTTAGATTTATCTGTTTTAAAATCATCTGGTTAATTCATATAAGATAAATAAATATACAGTCAGTATATATATTTTAAAACATACTGATGTAAAAAAAAAATTTATTGCTGAATTAATTATAAAAATTTTAAATTATTACTCTACAAAGTATAAATAAAGCATTAATCTCAAATGTAAACTAATAATAACTCTTTGTAAAAATTATTAAATTTTATGTGTTAGAATAAATTCAATTACTAATTTATTAACTTTAAAATAATGTATATCTATACTAAATTTTGTAAATTGATCGAATATTACTTTCTTATTTACAAATGTTTCTCATTTGAGAAAACTAAGCGATGTTATTTATTCCCGGTCCGTTCTATTTAATTTAAAAATCATCAACCCGATGAAAAAAGGAAAAGAATTCGAATTTATTCAAATTGGTTCGATCTTGTGTAATTAATTGAAAAAATAACCGGAGGTATGATCTTGAATCATTTGTATAATAATGATTGCCATAATTCAATTTTCTAGATAAAATACAAACAGCGCAACAACTAATAGTAGCAAATATCGAAAATACAGTAGTATATGATTCAGTAGTTTGAATTATTTGAAATTATAATTTTAATGCAAATTTTATTTAAATACTTAATGAAATATTAATGGTAGCATCACTATATAATTGAATAATTACTTCAATAAAATTATGAAGAGCAGAACAGTAATGATAGACACGTTTGAGCTTTGTAGGTCATTAAAAACATTTTATTATCATATATCAGATATTATTTACTTACGCATTTAAGAAGCGGTATTAGGATATTCAGCGCCACAATCAAAATTATCATACCCACATACCTATTCCATTGGATGTTTTCTAATCTTCTCAACTGCTTTGCTAATGTTCATGTTTGCAAAAACTGAAAATTGTGAACCGTGAAAATTATGGTTTAATCAATCTGAAATTTCGACTTTGAAATTAAGAAATAATTCAAGAATAAATGTTTGTATCGGTGTCAATAAGCTGCAGATAACGGAGATAATGTCAGATTGCATAATTTAGGTAAACATTATGAATTTGGAAACGGTGTTGAAAAGGATGAACTTAAAGCTTTTGAGTTTTATCAAAAGTCGGCTGAATATGGATTTGAGAAAGCAAAATATTACCTCGGATATTGTTATATAAATGGAATTGGAACAGAAATTAATAAAGAAATGGGATTCAGGTTATATAATGACGATACTAGGAAAAAAGACATGATTTGGAATTGCTATATGAAATTATGATAAAATAGGGAATGATTTAGAAAATGTTGTGATAATGGAATTATAATTGATGTTGATATAGAAGAAAAAGCTTTTGAATATTATAAAATAGCTGCTAATGAAAGTAGTCGTGGTGCACATAAAAGTCTTGCATATTTATATGAACAGGGTGTCGGAACAAACAAAGATATAGACAATGCATAAGAAAGCCATAGGAAATAGATGTCAAGAAGCCAAGGAACCATTAAATTCGATTCCTATCATTATAATTTTGAGTATCAAAAAGTCAGGTATAACATCATATTCTTATAATGAAATAAATTTATTCAAAAAATTATATTTCAAATGTCATGACATGACTAATTTCAATGCTTTTCCGAGATTATTATCAGAGGTCAAATTCATTGAATTTTGCGAATTATAATTTCAATTTACGTGACAAAATCTTTATGGCGCAGTAAAATACCAAATTCTATTTTAAATACAAATCTTTTCAATGGAAATGCTGGGTATTAGATAATATATAAAATATTTAAACTCCTATGAAACGGAAAAGTTGCCTACTGCCGAATTGTTTTTAATTACTTTATTTCATATTCTGAAATGATTCATGAGATCATTGTAATTCTTTCCCCAAAACTAATTCGAACGGACATAATTATGAATTGGTATTGGTTCATACAAGTTATATTTATTTTACTTTTCGGTATAAAGACGAGCCTTTTTTAAAAAATCTGCGACACTATCGTTCCTTATATTATTAATGTGATCAGAAAAAAAATTGTTGAGCGAGAGTTTCACAATCACATTGTTTATTACAAATCATGAATTATTGGAAACAATTAATAAGATATTTCGTCAGTATATAAACCTGTTTGTCATCATACATACATTCCGATAATATGTAAACAAAATAAGTTCAATTAAAGTTTTACCAATCAAGTTTTCATTACGAATTATACATAAAAAGACGACAACTATTGTATGTATACATGATGTCTTTCCTTTTTCATTAGTTTGTTGTAATTTCAAAGATATAATACATGCATAATACTTTCTTACCAAATTCATATTATTGTACATCTAATAACTTCTTTCATTACCAAACTTTAATACTTGTCAAATGCCTCTTTATTTATAATAGGTTTTTCGAGTAAAGTAATTTGCAGGTGTGGAAATAGTATTACATACAAGAAGTTCAAAAAATTATCGAAATATAACATCCGGATTTAGATATAAAATGGGGATTTTCGGCCAATAACCATAGTATTGGTTGATAGACATTTCATGTAAATTATAATTTCAATGCGACTTCGTAAAAAATTTATAAATTTAAAAAGAAAAAACAAAATTTTCAAGCCAGGTAAATATTTCAATCTTTATATATTGTGAAATATAAAAATAAATTATTTACAATTTCACCAATTGCCTTTTTTACTATATGTATAATAAATAGAGCGAAATTTCTAGTAAGACAACAAATACTGCGTCAGGTGATTTAAATAAAAATCGCTAAATTTTATCTGAAACAACCTCGAAATAATATCCTTATTAAGTTATAACGGGATGGATTTATTGCGCTAGATGAAAAATAAATGAACTTATAACAAGGTCAACTTATAAAAATGTTTTATATGCATTACAATACTTTTTGAAAACCAGCAAAATAAATTTTCTTCTCGAGTTTTAGTGGATTTATTAGAAAGGCTAGCAAACCCTTCACTATTCAAATATCACTCAAAAGAAATCATAACAAGATTAGAATTACATTTACGTACTTAGATAGCGGTCTAAGTGCACATACAATGTATGTCTCACGAATAGTTCTTGGTAAAGTAATTCGAAATCAAGTTTACAAATCATTAGCAAAGTTTGCGAAACTTCATTGTAAAGCGTCACAAGCTAATGAAGGAGGATTTGATAGCCTTAAACCAAATTTCAACACATCATATCAACAAAAAAGTGATGATAATAAAAATTAGAAATTTAATATATTGACTTTTTATTAATCCATTTGCGGGATACACTACATAGTCTGCGAGATAAAAAAACTTATTATCAAGAAATTTTAAGAAATACCAAAAAATGTTAAAGTCCGCTTTAAATATTACATCGAAGCTTGTATCAAAGTAACCCCAGTCCAAATTGAGTAGTGGCGGCTTACTATGTATATTGGAGGATTATGTCAACAATTAAATATAAACTTTTTTGATTTATAGAAAGTGATGAAATTAGTAAAAAAACGGAGAAAGGATCTTGATGGAATATCTTTGGAGTTACTCAGAATAATGCCGTATATAATACCATATTAGATTCTCAGACAAAATTCGATAAAGTATCGCCAAAATCTTAAGAAATAACGGGGGTTTCTTGAGCGATCTTACTGGAAATGAACCACTTGCATTACCGAATACATTATGGTTTGGAATATTAGATCTCGTGCAAAACCTCATTCTAAATCGACTCCACCGTATATACAGTATATTGACTTTGTTATTATTTGGCGATTGAATCTCTCAATAAGGCAACGAGCAGCTTCATTCAGCATAAAGAAATTGAGGTATTATTATACTTGCGAAACATTGATTATATATCATTTACAATGATAGAACTTGATTTTGATCAATAGTCTTAAAAATTAGCAACTAATTCATCAATCGATTCCTAAGAAAAATTTAAAACCTTATTGAAATTTGTTAAAAAATGTCATGAAAGACTTTTGTGTCCTAAATAATGAGAATTAAAAGGGAAAGGAAAAGTTTTGATTAAAAGTATGAATTTAAAAAGGAACAGTCATTAAATTTCGTTAATACTTTAAATGATAATGCAGATGAAATGACTTGCTCAATTGGCAACGAACCGGAAGATTAACTATGTATTTTTGTCAACAAGTGAATATCATTAAATAATTTAAAGAAATTAAGACAAAGAAATTGTCTTAGAAGTCAAGAAAATATTGAAGCTAATGTCAAATATTTATCACAATATACTATATACAAAAATCTATATTCATACCTTTTAGAGGCTGGTCATATTTTTACCTTCGATTGAATTAGAAGATTAAAACCAGATAAACGACCTCATAGTTCCTGCATGAAGCCAACAAAATTTACACCTATTCCTTCCTTTTTGGGAACGGTCATAGCTAACACTATAAAGTGGAAGTGGAATCATCTGACACCAACAACTATATGGTATGAACTGGAAATGATCAGCAAAAAATCATCAGATTCTATTAAAGATTAGATGGTGAATCAAAGATCGAGTTACCGTGGAATTCTAGTCAGAAAGTGTCATGGATTGCTTTTGAAAGGTACTAGACAGTTGAGGAAGGGATACAATTCAATAAAGATCGAATTCCACGAGCATTCAATTCTATATGATATCCTTGCCAACGACATGAAATAATTCGAGATTAATAAACGGTTTCATACGTGCATAGTCCTTCCCTGCATCGATAAAAATAACGTTTGAAATTTTGCGTGTAGCAATTTTTTTTTATTTCATAAATTATATATTTTAATAAAAGAATATTTATGAAGCAAAATTTGAACCATTGATTGGTTTGCGAATTGAAGGAAGATGATAAAGCTAACGTGGCTATTGCCGTATGTTACATATATATTTATAATAAAATAAAAAAACAATGCGCATTAATTTAACGTTGAAACAAAAAGGTTATAATAACTAACTTACGTTTTGACGTACAAAATTTTAGCTGAAATGATTCCGTAGTAAATTTCGTATAGATTTCTAGATTTACATCCTAAAAATGAGTATGTAATGATATTCCAAGATGAACTGGCACTGAAATTATCCGTTACCAATTAACAAAGCGAACTCATTGAACAAACTTTCTCAGGAATTGTCATTTTTGTTCATACCTATTTCTTACATTCTGAATTAATCCTTATCAGTTTAACAATTTTTATAACCATGATATTAAAACGGATTATTTCAGTGCCGGTGTCTAATTGCAAAGTTATACTGCGCCTCAATTACGTACACTGCGACGTTAATCTATTTAGCAGAGCAGTTCATGTACCGCTTAATATATTATACTTTCTTTTTCATTATTTAATTTTAGTTTATATTATTTTCATTATTTGTATGATTTATTAATATAGAAAGGTGTAGTTTAATATCAGTCCAGAATTTTATATAAATAGACATGTAAGTAGACCTAGATTCGACAGGAGTTTTACGGGACTAGATTTATAACTCTATAGATACCATTTTACACTTACAACCTTCTTCTTGTGATTGCTAAATACAATTGAATCAAAATAAATCGTTTGTTTATCGTAATTTCTCTTAGGAAGGGCCTTCGAGATGATCCGCACTCATTTCACCGACAAACGATTTACCGACGATTATTTCACCGCAAAATGACCGACAAACATTTCACCGACGATCATTTCACTGACATTTCAAAATATATTTGTAAGTTCTATAATTTATATTTTCAAATAATTTGATTATTTATTCCGAAATATTTTTATTTATTTATTAATTGCCCATCTAAATTAATATGTAACATTGATAAAATATGTAAAATGACTATAAATAACATATGACCGCTGAATTGGAAAATTCCTTTTTTTTTTTATTATTATAATGTGAAGTTTATTTATTTTATTTTTTCTATTACTGTAATGATTAATTAATAATGTAAAATTTGATAAAAAAACTGTCGACGAAATGATCGTGTCGATGAAATAATACTGGCGGTGAAACGTTTGTCGGTGGAATGAACCGGACCACTTCGAGATATTTAGTTATTGAGATATTTGGTTTTTTGCTTGGTTTCGGTACAATTCCTGGCCTAACACCGGATTGGCACATCAATCATTTTGTTTCTACGATTATATACAGATAAATACGGATAAATTTCGGCTAAATTAAATTATTTATGTTTGTTTTGCATCATTTAATTATAAATAATTCTCAATTCGTTAAAATAAATCAAAACGTCTAATTAAATATAATACTAATTCTTTTTTAAAAAAAAAACTTTTTATAAGCATTTCTTTAATTATTCAGCATTTCGGGTTCGATCGTTTCAAAAGTACGCGGGTATATATTTCCCTAATTTCATTTTAATTTAAGGGACGCAGCGTTGGAACGTAGTTAAAATTATTCATTTCTTATTAAGATTCTCTTTCGACAATGGTTCGCTTTGAAAGTACGCGGCATAATTTATTTTAGTTTAGTTTTAAATTACTGGTTTCATCGGTCACAGCGATCAAATACTTTTATCATCAATTATAGGAGATACCTTCACAACAGGTTAGTTCCTTGAAATATACTAATGACTATAGCCGATCACTGCGCCACTTAAAATATTCGAATTTTTTTTATTCGATTAACTTGATTTGATAGAATCGGTTCTAAACTGAAAAAATGAAAAAATGAAAAAATGATTTACATTAAAATAAAAAATAATAAAAATGGTTTTTATTTGAATAAAAAAAAAAAAAAAAAAATTTAAAATTAGTTGGTTGATGTGGGGCTCCGCAGGAGCCCGAATAATTAATTGATTCCCAATATGTTGTATGCCAAATGCGTTAATATCCGAAATGTGCATTTCGGATATTAACGCAACTGAGCGACCGGAACTTGAGCATTTAGTACAACGCTATATAAATAGTCTTCATTCATTCAATTATCCAACGAATACTGATCGTATAACAAATGTTGTTTCACTAATTTTTTTACAATCTGCACTTTGCCGATCTCTGATTATTCTATTCAGCCAAATTTTTTTTTTAAAAACACTATTTTGCAATTTTACATTATGACACTTGAAATTCGCCTCACTCAATACGGAACAGTTTAGCATATACACTTTCAATTTAATTCTATAAATATTGTATCAAATATTCAGAATCTTTTTTTTAGTAAACAGGACACAAACAAATAAAAAAGTAGTCATTCTTTTTTTAAAAAAAAGAGATCGTATTATGGAATCTTTTGATAATTTTGGTACATGCAATATTGTAAATGAATTAAAATTTGGGAATGTTCCCTTTTGTCAATTTAAAGATATTGAATGTATATATGAAGATGAAACGACTGAAGTTAATAAAGCTTTATGGGTTAATGATGATGATATTACAATAGGTTCAAAAGATGTTATTCTCAAAAATGTTGGTACTTATGAAAACCTTTTTTCCGAACTGCTACACGAGGTAAATACAATTTATTTACAATATATATTATTAATTCAAAATAGATTATTAATATAATTTAACTTTTAAAAAATTTAGTTTAATTTGAATAAAAATGATATGCTTGGAATTACTGTAAATCTTATTACAAATGAACATATGATAATTTTGAATTTAAATTGGAAAAGGCATAATCAACTTTTATTAGATAATATATCATATAAAAGTAAAAATAAAGTTGTTGGTAGATTTATCAAATATAAAAATAAACAACTTGAAGAATTAATGGAATTTATTTTTTATGATCAATTTAAAAATATTATTAAATGTGATAAAATTTATAAAGCTACTTGGATTAATAGTAATGATCAAAATTATGAATTTATAAATAAAAGTTCAAATATAATTCTTAAAAAACTTATTAATTCTGAAAATATTACTTTTGAAAAGCTAAATAAGGTAAGAATATTTATTTATTATATATATTATTAATTTAAAATAAACTTTATTAATATAGTTTATTCTTTAAATAATTTAGTCTTATATTGATAGTCAGCATATAAATTATTGTTTTGGAATTACTCATAATCCTAATACAAATGATTTTATGATGGTTTTAGGTTTATTTTGGAAAAATTATCAGCAAAATTTAATAAATAGATTATTATTATATAAAGAAAATAATATTATTAATGATTTTATTGCAAATAGAAATATTTATATCACACAATTTAAAGAAATAAGTGAGTTTATTTTTTATAATCAATTTATAAATATTATTAAATTTGATAATATTTATAAAGCTACTTGGATTTATGGTAATATATATGATTGGGATTATCAAATTTCTAAATTTAAAAGAAAAGGTCTTATGTATATTATTCTTAAAAAACTTATTAATTCAGAAAATATAACTATTAAAAAGTTAGAAGAGGTTAGTATAATTTATTTACAATATATATTAAAATAAAATACTTATTAATTTATTTTTTTAAAAAATTTAAGTCTTATTTAAGTAGTAATTATAAAAATTATTGTTTTGGAATTACTCAAGATCCTATTACATATACTTATATGATGGTTTTGCAATTAAATTGGGAAAATCATAAATATTATTTAATAAATAATTTATTAAGTAAAAGTGAAAATAAAGATATTAATGATTTTATCAAAAATAAAAATAATAATATTACACAAGTTAATGAAATAATAGAATTTGTATTTTATAATCAATTTAATAATATTATTAAATTTAATAATATTTATAAAGCTACTTGGATTAATGGTAATATATATGATTGGAGTGATAAAAAATGTGAGTTTATGAGAAAAAGTACTATACAAATTTTTCTTGTAAAACTTATTAATTATGAATGGATTACTCCTGAAAGACTAAATAAGGTAAATACAATTTGTTTATAATATATTTAATTTAAAATAAACTTTTAATTTTATATTTTTTTTTAATAAATTCAGTCCTATTTAATTAGTCAACATATAAATAATTGTTTTGGAATTACTCAAGATCCTATTACATATGATTATATGATGATTTTAAATTTAAATTGGAAAAATCATAAACATTATTTAATGAATAATTTATTAAGTAAAAGTAAAAATATAGATATTAATGTTTTTATCAAAAGTAAAAATTATAATATTACACAAGTTAATGAAATAATAGAATTTGTATTTTATAATCAATTTAATAATATTATTAAATTTAATAATATTTATAAAGCTACTTGGATTAATGGTAATATATATGATTGGAATGATAAAAAATGTGAGTTTATGAGAAAAGGTACCATACAAATTTTTCTTGTAAAACTTATTAATTATAAATGGATTACTCATGAAAAACTAAATAAGGTAAATATAATTTGTTTATAATATATTTAATTTAAAATAAAATTTTAATTTTATTTTTTTTTAATAAATTCAGTCTTATTTAAATAGTCAACATATAAATAATTGTTTTGGAATTACTCAAGATCCTATTACAAAAGATATTATGATGATTTTGAAGTTAAATTGGGAAAATCATAAACATTATTTAATAAATAATTTATTAAATAAAAGTGAAAATATAGATATTAATAATTTTATTAAAAATAGAAATAATAATATTACTATAGTTGATGAAATAATGGAATTTATATCTTATAATCAATTTAGAAATATTAATAAATTTGATAAAATTTATAAAGCTACTTGGATTGATGGTAATATTTATGATTGGAATGATCAAAATTATGAGTTTGTAAGAAAAAGTTCTATACAAATTATTCTTATAAAACTTATTAATTATAAAAGAATTACTTATGAAAAGATAAATAAGGTAAATATAATTTATTTACATATATTTTAATTCTAAATAAACTTTTAATAATATTTATTATTTTAATAAAATTAGGCTTATTTAAATAGTCAGCATATAAATAATTGTTTTGGAATTACTCAAGATCCTAATACATATGATTTTATGTTGGTTTTAAATTTAAATTGGAATAACCATAGGTATTTAAATAAAAGTGGAAATATAATTATTGATGATTTTATCAAATATAAAAATAATAATATTACACAAATTGAAAAAATATCAGAATTTGTATTTTATGATAAATTTAAAGATATTATTCAATTTGGTAAAATTTACAAAGCTACTTGGATTGATGGTAATATTTGTGGCTGGAATGAACAAAATTTTGAACTTATAAGAAAAGGTTCTATACAAATTGTTCTTAAAAAACTTATAAATTCCAATAATATTACTTTAAAAAAGCTAGAAAAGGTAAGTATAATTTATTTACAATATATATTATCAATTCAAAATAGATTTATTAATATTATATTTTCTTAAAAATTTAGACTTATTCAAATAGCCGTTATAAAAATAATTGCTTTGGAATAACTCAAGATCCTAGTACAAATGATTTTATGATAATATTGAATTTTAATTGGAAAAATCATAAGCAATATATAATAGATAATTTATTATGTAGAAGTGGAAATAAAGTAGTTGATAATTTTATCAGATATACACAAATTAATAGCCATTTAACTACTAGGATAATGGAATTTGTTCCTTATGATCAATTTGAAAATGTCGAATATATTGCTGAAGGTGGATTTAGTAAAGTTTATAAAGCTATTTGGATTGATGGTAACATTCTTAATTGGAATAATGATGATTTCAATTTAACACGAAATGGTTCCATGCAAATTGCTCTGAAACAACTTATTAATTCTGAAAGCATCACTTCTAAAGAACTGAATGAGGTATATCAATTTATTTATTTCTTGACATAATAAGGATTGTTATTAATATATATATGTTTCTTTTCAAAAAAAATTAGCTTAAAGTTTTTTATAATTGTACGACACAACTTAATTACTTGTATGTAAATACTTACTTCGGAATTACGCAAGAACCTATTACAAAGGATTTTATGCTAATTATGAAATATTGTAAATCAGATCTGAAGAATTATTTAGCAAATAATTTTTACGATATTAATTGGAATGAAAAATTGCGAATTTTGACCGATATTATTAAGGGTCTTGAGTCCTTTCATCATGAAGAAATAACTCATCGAGATCTTCATTGTGGAAATATACTTGTTGGACGTTGTTCTCAGGTTTTATCTGATTTTGGACTGAGTAAGGTTTCAACGGAGAATGATGAAAATGGTAACATTTATGGAATTATGTCTTATATCGCTCCAGAGATTTTTCAAGGGAAAAAATACGATACAGCTTCAGATATATATAGTTTTGGCATGATTATGTGGGAAATAATGAATGGTAGAAGGTCTTTTTGGGATGAAATTCATGATGGTGGACTCATTGTTAAAATTTGTGATGGCTATCGACCTCCGATTGTCACAATTGCACCCGAAGGCCATATTAAATTAATGCAAAAATGCTGGGATAATGATCCAAACAAAAGACCAAATGCTCTTCAAATACGAATTACAATTCTTAAGATTATTGATAATGAATTGAGAAATCTGACAAAAATCACAAAATCAGCAGAAATTGGACCTATAACAAATATTAATTCAGGAGCGGTCTATACAAGAAGGTCTTTAAGTGATATGATAAGTTCCGCAAATTCAATTCTAAGTTCGAGAAGTACAACCAGTTCATTAAAATTAGGTAAATAAAATTTTTTTTTTCTTTTAGAGGGTTACTTTTTTTTTAAAAAAAAAAATTTAGTAATTTATATCATAAATAATTATTGTTTAAAGATAAAAGAAAACTTGAAGGTAATTTGACTGAAAATATTAAAGGTTCTAAGAGGAATAAATTATCAGAGTATAAAACTGATGGTAAATATTAATATTTATTGGTTATATTTTGATGTTTTAAAGTTTTAATATATTTTTTTTACAGGTTACGTGTCAGAAGCACTTGATTATGATATATAAATTGCGCAAATATTATACTTATTTGATTATAAAATGAATGAATGAGATTAACAAAGATATTCCTTTTCATAGAAAGAAGTTTCAATAACATCATATATCGTAAAAGCATTTTATAAAGTTGAGGAATTTATTAAGAAATAAATGGCAATTATATATTGAAGTATTTTAATTTTGATTTTATATTTTAAGGCGCAAAGTAACAAATAACAAGTTGTACTTTATTACTGTTTTAAAATATCACTGGTGTGTCTATTCATCTTTTAAATCGAGCTATTTATAGTTTTACAATTAAATAAACAAATGAAATAAATCAATATCTAAATTAATGCCTATATGCTTTTCCACATCTTTGAACAATTTACATTTTACATATTGACTACGTTTCATTGACTGCTAATTATTTAAAATTAGTAATTTTACGTGAAGAGGAAATATTCTCGTCGATATTATTTCATTAAATATAATTCCGCCCAGAGACACCATAATTTCGCATGCAGATTGTTTTCGATACTTGCAGTTCCTTTTTGACAGTTAGGATGTCAGGTTGACAGGATGATAAAATGCAAGGTGCCAGGCTGTCCTAATAGTTTTTTTTTTATAAATACAGATGTAAAATCATTAAACAGCTCAACATTCCACGCTCGCCCTTCTTATATTTGCACATATACACCTTAAAAACCTTCCTTTATCCCTTCGCAATATCTTCGTTTCGCCTTTTTAACATTTTAATTTTATATTTGTAATTTCGTTTATTTGTAATTCCCGATTTTTCTTATTATTTTATTACGCAATTTTTTCATAATTGCACAGTTTTAATTAATTAGAGCTTTATTGATTGGCATTTATTTAGTTTAGTATGGCAACTGATTAATTTTATATTTAAATTGTTTATAAATACATAAACTACAATATCCGAAATTTTAACGGTGCAAGCATCTAAATTATATTTGATTTTGTTTTCAGAATGTATCGTATGAACGGTTGATCGATTTATGAACAAGTATGCGTGAAATTTTTCTTGTTTTCGTTCGAATTTTTTTAACTTTGCGAAGCGGATCTATTATAACCATCTGAATAAATCTAACTTATTTACGATAAAGTATCGACTTCATCCACTGGGAATTGTATGCTGTAATTGGGTGCTTTATCGTAGAAAGGAGGAAACTACAAAAAATAAATAATCCTCCCCAAGTGTCATAGCAATCCCGGTAAGTTGTATATTTCACGCTTTTCTATACTTTTTCCTAGCGAGATATTCTGGATTTTCGTAAAATGATCTAGGAATTCTTTCTTGGTCCATTATCTCGAATCTAGAGAAAAATCAACGTAATACCATTCGTGAAAACTTTTTCATACACCACCCCAATTCACAAAAGATTTTTGAAAATTTTTCTTAATATTAATTTTTAGTATCGGAAAATGTAACAGCAATAAATATTATCGGAGCTAATAAAGATTTTTTTTAAAAGAAATTTAAATCTGGCAGACAATGTCTCTGTCCTTCTAATCTTTCTAACCAACTCGGAACGTGATTCTCAAATCGAATATCTTTATTAATGACATTCTTTAAAATAACTCCATGTATATCACATGATACGGCCGTAAGTAGCATTTTTTTTTTTGTTCATTCATGTATCTCTCGTATACTAATAAAGCATTTATAACAGGATTACTTACTAAAGAGGGTCAAACAATGTGGTCATAGCAATTTCGGAGATCTGAATTTTAATCAAGGATAAATAATAATCACGTATGGCAAGTTGTCTCTCAATTTGTTATTTATTCTATTATTACCAACGAAATTTACATTTTAAATTTTTATATATAGCATATATTCCCAAACTTTCCCACATACATATACTCAAAGTTCTCAATAAAATAATTATAGATCTAAGTATTGTAATTTAATTTTTTCTATTATAAGATCAAATGTCATAAAAAAAAATAGGAATTATCAAAAATAATGTAACAGCAAAGCATGAAAGCAACGTTCACCAGACGACGTAAAATTCGTCCTATAAATCTAGGTTTAAATTATTTGATGTTCCCTGTGGCAGACGTCCAGGAAAACATCAAAGAGTATATTTGTAGATATAGATATTTGGTAACCCAGCAATCTGGCTACTGCAAAAGCAATTTCATTAGGCCTTACGAAGTCAGTAAATCCATCATTTTGTATTCTGGTATTATTAATATAAGTTTCTGGCTCGTGGTGAAGTGGTGCTGTTCAAAACGAAATTGCGCGAGTTTTTATTGTATTTTGTACTGTTATCATAACTGGTGTGTTTGGTGGTGGGTTTGGGAAAATTCTTATTGTTAAATAATCTTGAATGCAATTAGTTTGTACAGAAGCAGAAAAGTATGCTCCCGCCAAATCATGCAAAGTATCGAGAGTCTCTGAATTCCCACTTCTACAATCATTCTTAGTTGATGTTCATATCCATTGGAAAGTTTCCAGGTCCAGGTAGAGGTATTTGTATTGGTTGCATTGGTTCAATTGCGATATCAGAGCAGTATTCGCTGTTATTACCAACAGTCATATCCAGTCCACTAAGAAATTCAAGATAGTTGCTCCTGCAATGGCTGTATGAGGAGGAATAGGCATTTCATATGCAATAGATTTCCCTTAACGAAACGGACATAAATGTTAAACCTTCTCTCTTCTTTCCCACGAAAACTTGCGGTATCTTTCAAGCGTTACGTCATTAAAATATAATTTTTCTTGATTCTGTACCCTTTTCTATTGATTTCTTTTCAGTTGTAACCTCTTCCATGTATTCTCTTTTATAATATCTTTCTTATCAAATTCGAGCAAGGTTACCCTTTGATAAATCAAAGTTTTTTTCAAATTACTTATTGGCATTGGAAAAAAATTTTTCGATCGATCAAAGTGATTTTTATATCAAGCAACGAGTGATATTTTGAATGCAATGCTCTCCAGAATTATGGTTCTGGCTTTTTGAATTTTTTTGTTTGTTAAAATATTAGCCAATCAAGATCAAAACACATTTCTTTATCCGGCAAGCAATTGAGTAAAGTTATAAATATAATTTCAAAAAAAATTTCATTCACCATCTGTTCAATTGATGCTAAGAAATGACAGCTGAATAGAAATCGTCTGAATTGCTTTTAATGGAGACAGAAGAAATTATAATGCTTTCAATATTAGCAGGGGGGTCCTTACAGAATAACTAGTTTTAAACTCGCCAAAATTTATAAAAGCAATTTTAACTAAACTAGAAAGTGTTATTATAAAAACTTCATGAGTAATTATTGACATCTTCAAGAAGCTCAATTTAAAATTTTAATGAGATAATGCAAAAGAGTTGATTGCTTCCGATGCGATGTAATGACACGACATCATATTTCATAAATGATAGTATCGTGAAATCTTCAAAAATTATTTATGATGAAATTGTTTCAACAAAACATTAGGCTTCCACTGTTGTGTTGTTATAGTAAAAGAATATTACAAAAAAATTTAAACTCTCCCGGATGATATTATGAATTCTTTAAGCGGAACTTGTCAGTTTGCTTTCGAGAACTTTTTCAGCGGGAATTGGCACATTTAAATAAACTCTCTGGATTGTGATGAACTACAAGCCTACTCAAATCATGAGAAACGCTATGAAAAGCGATTCACATATGAAAAATGCCTCGAAAGCGAATCTTGATTATGAGGTTAATTTATTTATTTTTAAAAAATTTAAAAAAGACCTTCTTTAGTCAGGAGAATTTTGAACTAATTCCGTTAATCACTGGATTATCTAAAAAATACCCGGTAAATTTTTGAATAAAATACTTTAATTGCAATTGACGCTCGCGAGCTAATTTATAGACTATACATAAAACACATTCGGAACTTATAAATTTAAGTTAACCTTGTAAATAATCCTCTAGTTTCTAATCGTTTGAAGCTTAAGTTTCTAAATGGTTTTCTGTTCTAAAAGAACTCTACTTTATTAAATTTAAATTTCTTCTAAAAGAATTTTAACTCGTCCATCGAAGATCGAGAAGTAAAGACTTTCTCATAACCTCTCCGATCAGGACTGCACAACTAAGAGCTTTCTTGCGTCAAATGTGGACTGGCTAATCTTGATAATAAAAAATCGAAGGCGTGAATTCCAGGTTGATCCCAAGAGGGGTTATCGTAGAGGATATTCAATTTTTAAATCATTATTTATATATGGAAACCTCATTTATCGATAATTCTACTGCTATATATACAGAAAGATTGGCCCCGTTTTTAAGAATAAGAATTCAAAAGTAAGTATCGAGAATAGAGGATATGTTCAGCAACATATTATAGGTCTCAATGGAATCAATATGTAGGAAAATCAGGTTCTGCAATTTTCAATTTATTTATTGCATTCTAGCTTTTGACTTTATTAGATTAAAATGCAATAATACTAAAATTTTTCAAAGAACTGGTCATCTTATTAATCATCTCCGCTATTGTGTGGTGTTACTTATATCTTACGTATAAGGAAAATAACAAATCGAGTTATATTACACATTTTATAAACTAATAACTTACTCAAAATTAATTAATTAAAAGTTCTAAATAAAGAAAACTGGAAATGTTCGATACGAACTTTATCAGTTCTAAATTATATTATCTGTTATCCCTATAAAAAAGAACGCCCGGATGATAACGTACAGTTACGCATAGAAAACATCGGAAAGCGTTTCAAAACCACAATAACTCCATACTTTGAGGCGTTGCAAGCCTATTATTACCTTACAATATTGATCCTTAGAAGAAACTTTCACATAAAAACGAGTAGAGGGTATCAATTGTACCTATTCCCTTCTACCATGTATTTATGCAACATTGTTTTATTTCGACCTCCTTTTTAAAGTTTACGACCCATTCCTTCATAGAAAATTAGGCAAAATTCCTCGGATTCATAAAGTCAGACAATTTTAATTATATTCGAATATTCACCAATATTCAAAAAAAATTATATTAAGATATATTTATGAACGGAGATTCAAATATACCAATTTTTTCGAACGGAAGTTCGTTTAAAAAACTTAGGTCGTGGTGACGCTTTTACGAAGCCATAAAATGGAAATGGGACTTTACTCGAGAGGAAAGAATTTTGCGTAGATCAAATAGAATCCTTCATAGTTTTATCCAAATTTACAAGGAAATCCTCCAAATCTTCTGGAAGCAATTCCGAACCCTCTTCATTATACAACTTTAACTTATGAAAACTTTTTGGGTTATTTTGCGATGATGATATCTAATGCCTGCTTTTTATCTAGATATTCGTCACCACACTAGACTTTAATACACTCTATTTACATTGAATTCTTTAAAATAATCCCATAAATCTTCAATGATTCAGGTACTCTAATTTTGGACATCCATACTTAAATTTTAATTCACTGAAATCTTTAATAAATACCATGGATTCTATTGAAAAGACAGTTTCGTGTAAATTTGTGAACAAGGAATGAATGAAATTGACATAAACTCTTTCCAATAATTCCAATTTGATTAAGCTGTTAGACTGTTTCAAAGTTTTTTGTGATGAGATTAATCTGTCAATTCGTCAGAAATGTCTCTTTGAGTGATATCGACATTGATTCAATGTTATGGCAAATATGTGTTAACTCAAAAGTATATATTCGAGTCACACTTATATATACTTTAAAAAATTCTTTGCCCCAGGAAAGTGGTATTCTGAACTGTTGTAAAAATATAGTTACAACTAAAATAATTCCGCCCGAAAACATAATTACGCTTGTAGATTGTTTCGATATTTGCAGTTAGTCCTCATCGAAGAAAATCAAGCCCAAGCAGGAGGAAATGCAAACCGAATTGTTGCCTGGACAGGAAATGGTCCTTTGTAGATCATTTGACGATACCAGGCCGTCCTAATTATTTTTTTTATAAATATCAGTTGGAAATCATAAAACAACTCATCATCCCACGCTCGACCCTTCTTGTACTCCATAAAAACTATCCTTTATCCCTTCGCGACATTTTCGCTTTCGCTGGTTTAACATTATAATTTTTAATTTATAACTTCGTTTAATTTTAAAATCCCGATTTTTCTAAGTATATATTTTTTTGAATTTTGTATTTGCGCAGTTTTAGTTAATTAGTATTGTTAGTGATTAGTATTTATTTAGTTAAATATCTTAACAATGCAAAAGTGTAGAGCGGTAACAATGATTAATAAAACATATTTTGTCACAATTACTTCATTTTTATTCAATAAATTCCTTCTGCTTACATTACAAAATTGTTTATAAATAAATAAACGAAGAACTGAATACTTATAATCAATGATGTGATTTGTTTCATGAACATTTTAAATAACTCTTCCGTTACCAATCAGTTACTATAATTTAAATAATGTGAAGGCATGGGATAATTGATGAGGACCTTTTCAATTATTGAACCGATTTCATGAATCGGAAGATCTTTTCAAAACGAAGCATTGAAGGTTTCCAAGTTCCACTTTATATTGAATATGATTATAGAAAGGGTGATCCCAAACGTTTCTCTTACAGAAACCTAAACCAGTGACGATTCACCAGAAGAAAGGATCTTTTCATCCTCTTAATACTCCAACATTTCATAAAGACAGTTGGTGAGTGGACAAGACATCTTTTTTCTTTTAAAGTTAATTTATCTACTTTTCCGGGATTAAAATACAAAAGGTGAAGAAATTTGTATGTAGTGACTGTATATATATTTAGCGTTTACCAAAGAGTAAAATGAAATTTTGCTTAGAAGCGTCAACGTTATGAATAGAAAGAAATTAGTTAACCAACCAACAATAAAAAAATTAAAAGAAAGAAAGAAAGGATTAAAGGGATAAAAAAACCTGTTTGAGAATTTAGGATTTTCTCGACTTGAAGTACTATCGGCAAATGATTAATTAGCTGACTGCGTAACCAATTAACCGAAACTCTTTACACATCTAAAGTTCATAATATTTCGTTATTATCATTATTATGTTAAATCAGCACAATGTTCTCACTCTTACATCATCCTCGCAAGACAAATGATTTGCTTTTAAAGTAGATTTGTTAAACGAAAACAGTATGATAAATCAATTTCTTAAACTAAAGTTATTGTCTTGTAATATTTTGTCAATAAGGTAACTTTAATTAGTTACTGTGTTAAGTTTATGAACTTTTGTTTCTTTCCAGCATTTACTTTTAATAAAATTATTGTAGCACGATATAAAGCTTTTTAATTTCCAAGTAGGAATATGTACATTGAAACTTATATATGCATATTTTCTGATTTCTTCACGTAATTGCCTTTTTAACATTAAATTTTGGCTCGAAAAAGTACAATTTCATAAATTTCCAATATACACAGTATGTATTTCACCTTTGACATAATAAGTTATTGCCAACAAATGGAAGAATACTTTAGATGGTAAAATTTTCTGTCCATTCATAATCTTTTAATCATTTACAGTCTATATTTTTCATAATAACTAGAGAGGCCAGAGACGTAGCTCAAAGATCAAAATCACCCCGCCGTCATTGAAAAGCTTTAATATGTTAGATTAGAGTAGACAAACTGAACCAAAAAATAAAATTAAAAAATCAAAATGTC